TCTCTCTCTCTCTCTCTCTCTCTCTCTCTCTCTCTCTCTCTCTCTCTCTCTCTCTCTCTCTCGCGTCTGTGTATGTTTGTCTTTCTGCGTGTCGGTCTCTCTCTCTCTCTCTCTCTCTCTCTCTCTCACCCCGTCTGTGTGTATGTTTGTCTGTGTGTGTGTGTGTGTGTGTGTGTGTGTGTGTGTGTGTTCCTATTCGCTATAAAACCCAACTCAGCTTTACGCAAAATAGCTAAAGTGAGATTAACCAATCGAAATGAGGTTATTGCATACATTCCGGGAGAAGGCCATAATTTACAAGAGCACTCTATTGTTATGGTTCGAGGAGGTAGAGTCAAAGATTTGCCTGGTGTAAAATACCATTGTATTCGAGGAGTGAAAGAAACAAAAAGCATGACTGTGCCAGACTGTTTCGTTGTAATTTCACCGTCTCATCAGGAGGTTGAACCCCGACAGTCTGCCCAGGATGCATTTGACTGATGGATAAGGACTCACCACATCGCCCAGAGTAGGCTATTCCCCTGAAAAAAGTGGTAGACTTTGACTCACTCACACCAACCGAGCAATCCTAGGGTGTGTGTGTGTGTGTCCGTGTGTGAGTGCATCTATTCGCGGCCAGGGGATGCGCCTAGTGGGGATGCTTTTTGTGGTAGACTTGACTCACACCAACCTTGCGATCCTAGGGTGTGTGTGTGTGTGTTTGCGTCCATTTCTGTTTTGGGAACGTCGTTCGTCATCAGGAGTTTGCGGGCGAGATGTCGCGCACAAGGGTGTCACAGTGGTCGTTGTCGCTCGGGAGACCAGTAGCTGGAGCGGTCGCGCCACCGTTTGGGGGTCGGAACCTGGAGTTTGTGTGTGCAGGTCGTTGGAGGCTGTGGGTGGCGCCGTCCGCGGTTTCCACTTCTTTTTTTTTTCCCTTTGTTTTTTGTTTTCGAGCAAACTTGTTGCAGGTTCCCACTATAACGAGGTGAAGGCTCGATTTACTATTAGTGGGGGCATCACCTGCTGCAAAACGGGTCCAGCGTCCCAGTAAAATTACATAAGTTGCATGTCAGCTGTAGCTCTTTTGTAGCATCGTTGTAGTCATTATTGTTGTCTCAGCTCGAGTTTGGTCTGCTATTTTTTTTTTTTGTGATACTGTACATTGTGTCCTTCCATAATGTGTTTGTGCATTTTCGGGAGGTTGTTCGTGGGTGTGCTGTCTTGTGTGCCGTCGCAGCGTACTTGGTCCTGTCTTTGCACTTTGTGCATATTTGGTTTTCTGGTGGAGGGCGTGAAACTTTTTTTTTTTTTTTTTTTTTTTAAATTCTTTAAGCCCAACCAATTCAGTTACCTGTCAAATCTGGACGGGCGTGAAACTCAGTGCTACCCCACTGGGAAACGGCGGCAAGGCTGTGCAGATGTTGTATCGAGAATCCTGCTGACTGTGCTTACAACATACACAGTTTTTTTGGGGGGGTAGCTGAGGGACTGGGTACCCGTGGGAGTCTCCCGCCTTGGGGCATGGGACTGGGTACCTCTGGGCTACCGTTGGGAGTCTCCCGCCTTGGAATGCCTGGCTCTGCCCTGGGTGTGTCTTGGGAGTGTGATTATAGCACTGGCCGTCAGGGTAGGGCCCGCCTATCCCTCAGCCTCTACAACCTTTCTAAGGCAAAACAAAAATGGGGGGAACTCGGTGGCATTACCCCAAACTGGGGACATGACGTCCTTTGGGACATCCCTTAAAATTGGAACGATACAGAGAAGATGAGAAGATTAGCATGGCCCATGTCGTCCAGTCTCTCTGCACACGAGTGTCGTTAAATATACCTATATATTACCGGGCAGTTCTGTTTGTGATGATATATATAATATATAATTATATATAAATGACGATATATATATTTATATATATACTATGTGACCCTCTGAACGCGCTTTCGTGTTCATTCAAACGGGCGCCAGACTTGTTCAAACGTGTTGTGTGCCATGTGGTGCGATTTTATTGAAGGCGACCCACCCAGCGTACCCTGAGGTTGGCTGCGCTGTTGGACACTTACCGGCTCTCCTCTCTCTCTCTCTCTCTCTCTCTCTCTCTCTCTCTCTCTCTCTCTCTCTCTCTCTCACACACACACACACACACACGCACACACACGGCCATGCATATTTCCATGTCTAGCGGAAGGTTCATTCGATTTTGCTCATCCAACCCACGGGAGTACTGTGAGGCCAGCGGCGTGGTTGGAGACTTACTGCTCTCCTCTCTCTCTCTCTCTCTCTCTCTCTCACACACACACACACACACACACACACACACAAACACACACACACACACACTGCGCCCAGCCGCGGTTGGAGACTTATCTGCTCTCTCTCTCTCTCTCTCTCTCTCTCTCTCTCTCTCTCTCTCTCTCTCTCTCTCACACACACACACACACAGACAAACACACACACACACACACACAGACAAACACACACACACACAGACAAACACACACACACACAGACAAACACACACACATACACACACTGCCCCCAGCCCACACCCCTGCGCCCTGCGCAAACGCGTTTAGCCGTGTTCAACGCGTTCAAAGCATGAACACGAAACGCGCATTCATTGAACGCGCGGCAACAGAGTATATATAGCAGTGTGTCTGTCTTCCACTCTCCCTGCACTCAAGTGTCATCATTTCTCCCTGCTCCCTGTGGACGTCGTCGTGAATAGCATAATTCGTGGCGATGGCCTGACAACCTCTTCTTTTGTTTGTCTAGGTCTACATGCCATGCTGTGCTTTGCACTAGGTGTTACAAAAAACTGTGTCCTTCGGGACATCCGTTAATGGAACGATACAGAGAAGATTAGCATGACACGCATAAATCGAGAAGTGGTCCAAATTTCAAAACAGAAAAAAAAAAAAAAAAAAAAACTCACAGACCCCATTCCCAATTTAAAACGGATGGACCGCAGCCGGACATGACAACAGAATTGTGTGCGTAAGCAAAAGTGAAAAAATAAATACACGATAAAAAACAATAATAATAATAAAAAAAATACAGAGAAGACTAGGGGGGGTCAGGGTTTGAGTTTGAAAATACCTTTCAAACTGCCGTTTTGGAGTCCAGTCCCCTCTGAGGTTCACACTGCAGGCCAAATTCGCGTGGCTGTTGCAGGGCAGAGTTTGTAATTGCAGTCTAGTCATCCACGATTCCACGTCGGAGGGCCAGGCCGTTTAAAAAAAAAAAATAGAAAAACAAGAAGGAAAAAAAAAAGATGGTGGCGCTGTATCTTTGCATGTTCTACGGAAAGATTTCACTTACTCTCGGTTTCCACGATTGATCTCCAGATGTGCAAAACGAGAGTGAATCTTCCCTAGAACATGGAAAGATACAGCTCCATGATTTTTGTCTTCTGTGCAACGGGAATACAGGGGGCCAGCGGGATACACGGGCTGACAACAACGCAGAGGCCCTAGGGGAGACACGTGCTGACAACATCCCAGTTTCTTTTCTTTCTTTTCTTTTCTTTTTTTTTTCCTCTTTCTTTTCCCTTCTCAGATTTCCCGATCCATGCCAAGGGGCGAGGTCCCACCAGCAGCGGGATAGGATAGAAACGAGTTTGTGGGGCAGTTGAGTGACCCCAATCCTGCCGTGCAGTAGTCGTGATCCCACGGTAAGTGTTTTACTTGTATTACCCGAAAAAATTAGGAGATCTTCGTCCCCCTCCTCCTCTCCTTAACACTGGGCATGCCCGTGCAAAGAAAGCTTCCCGCCAGAATCTTTTCTATCGGTTGGGGGTAMGGCCAACCCCAAAGGAGGGTGGGATCAGCCTTAGCCCACTGGATAGAAGATTTTCAGTATTTTACTTGCTGTTGCGCAATTATCTCATTGGGTGG